GTCGCCACGGAATGACTTCCAGCCGATATCGGTGACATCTTGTTTTTTCAAGACGGGATCCCTGGTAGTCCCGACCCTGTCCCCGGGGCTGGTTTTTCACCCCGGGCCGTTCTTGACGGTCCCGCAGCCGGGCGAGAGCCCCTGGAGGCCGAGAATCGTTAAAAGTGTGGCCTCTTGATTTTGTCACGACGTCAGCACGTTTGGGTTTAATTCGGGCATGTCCCTCTAATGGAGCACAACTCAAGAATAGTTACGAAGTAGTCTGGAGACGATTTTTCTATTAGTTTCGACTATTACTGGGTACGTTTGACTGTTTTCCATTTTTCTTCACACATCTGCCTGTAGGAGGACATGCCCGACCTAAGTCTGGGTGCGGGAGTCTGTGCGGAGGAGCCCGAAGCTTTGCCAGCTCAGACGTACTAGACGTGACCAGTGGCTCGACGTTGCGGTGAGCTAGCAGCTAGTGCTCATCGCGCCGAACCTGGGTCGCCGGGAGATCGCGATTGCGGCGCAAGGCTGGGCCAGTGGTCCTGACCGGTCGCGCGGGCACGCGGTTCCGACATTTGCTGCGTATTCAACGGGCAGCCAAAAAAGACATGCGCGCCGCTCGGACATTTGCCTGAGGAGAAGAGACACCGATACCGCTGCGCGCCACTCGGCATCGGTTCCAGCCAGTCCCATCTGGTCAAATTCCAATGCTCGGACGATCCAGTGCGGCCCGATGTTTGTGTGGCGCTGCTGCGCACCATGGCGTCGTGGCGCAGTCTCTCCGGTTCGACCGGTGCAGCCCGATGCGGTGCACATTCCGATTCGAGTGGACTTCCCGAACCGATGCTGACTGATCTTGCGTCACGGCTCCTGCTGCCCTCCTGACCCTCTTGCCCCGTGTGCTCCCCCGTCTCCTCCTCCTCCTCCTCCTCCTTCTCCTCATCCTCATTCGATGGGCGGAACGCCTCCATCCGCCTTCCCTAGCCTCGCCCTTTCGCTCGGCTCGCTCTCTCGTTCCCCAACAGCCAGTTCCCTCGCTCGCTCGCTCCCGCCGGTTGCAATTACGAGCGGCCCTTTGCTGGAGTGTTTTGCAGTACGCGGCTCTCGGTGGGGCCGCTACTGTCGCATCGCATACAATGCCTTTGGCTGGGTCGGGATCCTTCCTCTAAGTCACGCGTGCCCAGTCGTTCCTACTGCGGGGGACTTTGAGAAGACCCCGTCTTCGTCCGTCGCTCATTTGATTTTGCGCGCAGCATCCCTGGGTTTCCTCCCAGTGCATGCCGCCAAGGAAGCGACGACGACGAGGACGCCGACGACGACGCCGACGACGAGGACGACGAAGGCGACGACGACGATAACGACGAAGGCGACGACGACGACGACGACGACGACGACGACGACGACGACGACCAGGACGACGACGGCGACGAGGACGACGGCGACGACGACGCGGACGAGGACGAGGACGAGGACGAGGAGGAGGGGGAGGGGGAGGGGGAGGAGGAGGAGGGGGAGGAGGAGGACAACGACGACGACGACCACGACGACGAGGAGGTCGACCTCGCCCCCCTGCCCTCTCGGGAGAGCCCCCCCCTCCCCAGCCTTCTCGGGAAGGCCGCCCCCTCGCGCCTTCCCCCCCCCTCGCGCGCGCCGCCTTGGCCGCGCCCTCGAGACGCTCCCTCCTCTTCTCAGGAGGGGAAACAACGCACAGACACAATGAATCGTCGATCCCCTGGAAAATATAGGAAAGCATGGGAAGTGGGGGGGGGGAAGACAAAATCCCAGAACATATGGGAAGTGATGGGGAAGCCTGTGATCTGTGTCTGTCTATTGGTGTGTCCCAGGGCCCCTTCAATTCTACCGGAGGGCCAGGCCCTGGGCGGCGCGCCGTGTCCTTCCTGCTGCCCTCCCCTCGAATGCCCCACGACACGATTGTCAGAGGGGCCCACGACCATTTGTCCCCCCTCCACTTGCGGCCAGCTTTCTGTTACCATTTGTCCCCCCCCCTCCGCGTACTGCAAGTTCGGTTGTTACATCGACTCCTGAATGCGAATAGCAATCAAGATCACGCGAGTCCGCTGACTTGAAAAAAAGAGAGGGGCCGAGCGGTGCTTCTCGCTGTCCCCGGGCGCGTGGCCGGAGTGGAGCTCCGCGGTGCGGGTGGTTTTGGCTGTTGGCGTTGCGTTGTTGATGTCGTCGTCCTCGCCCGCGACCCACCCGCGACCCACCCTGCCTCCGCCCACCCTCACGCGTATCCGCCATTGCGGGGCGCTGCGTCTCAATCCAGGCACGTTTTTCCTTAGATTTCGGCTCTCTGGGGCCGTTCTCGGGCCTTGAGACAATCAAGCATGGATCCGGGACGAGCATTTGGCCGCAGGGAAGTGGTCGAGGTTGCGGATTGTAAAAGTCACATCGGCGGATGTCAGGGCTTGTGAGGTGGACGACTCCTCGTGCCCCACCCAGGCCAGTCTACCCCAGGTTTGCTCCGCCGCCCCCGTCGGCCTTCGCCCGCACGGAGCCCCCGCTCCTCCTCAGGACATGCGTCCGACGTCACGGTGATTGTCTCGTCGCGCGGGCCCCCACCGGATTTTGCGGCCCCGTCCCCGCCGAGGACGTTTTTTGTTATGGTTCGCCCTCGGCAGTGCTTCCTGGTGTTCCCAGGGTCCGAAACGGGCCTCTGGGGAGGCCAACCAGCGTTAAACAAGAAGAGGCACAACAACCAGTACTTATGTTGGCAGCGGCGGTGTGAAGGCACGAATAGCTATGTGCATCATACATATTTGCGAAGATACACACGCGTACCCCGGTACACACATACATCCGTACACATACATACATACATACATACATACATGCATGCATGCATGCATGCATGCATGCATACATGCATACATGCATCCATGCATCCATGCATACATGCATACATGCATACATGCATACATGCATACATGCATACATGCATGCGTGCATGCGTGCATACATACACACATACTTACACACGCGCGCACGTACATACATTCTTACGTACGCGTACGCACTGACATACTTGCATTTACGCATACATGCATACAAATACATAACTACGCACCTATATACATGCACACATACCCACATACATACAGACAGGCATATCTACCTGCATACATTAGCACATGCATAAAACAGACCTCCATGCATACACACATACATGCACACATGCATACACACACACGCACATACATAAATACACGCGCGCACATGAATGCATACATGCATAGACACACACACATGCATACATACACACATGCATGCATGCATACATTCATATCTACTTACAGACATGCATGCACACACATGCATGTATGCATATATATACGTAAAACCATAATCATCCATACACACATACACATATGCAACCATAGAGTTACGTACATGCACGCACGCATGGACACATACATACACACATACAGCCGCCCATGCATACATTCATACAGGCATACATACACACACATGTACATATAAATACAAGAACCCAAGCAGGTAACCATACATACCTGCCATCACACCTACATACACACATTTCCACATACCGACGTACATACAGACATAAGGTCATAAAGACATGCAGACGTACCGACATACATACATACATGTATCCATACATACGTACGGATATACATACGAACACACATTCACACATACATACAGGCATACATGCATACATACATACAGACACACAGACATACATACACACATACATACATGCTTGCATGTACGCATAAACACATACACAACAAACGCATAGGAACCAGCCAACCTACACAACGATATACACAGACACAGGAACACCACGGCACGATGCTGCATATGTATATATATATATGTATATGTATACACCATCGCCCCCGCAGTTGCGGATAAGAGTGAGTGGGCGGCGGGGGTCGTCGGCAGTCTGCGAAGCTCTGAAGAAGCCTGCCGCAGGCTCCGACCTTTCGCAATTTATACGACGAGCTCGCCGCAGGCGCCGAATTTACGTCAGAGCATTGTAGGTGGATCGCGGTTGGGTCGCGGGGTGGGTCGCGGGGTGGGCCGCGGGTGGGTCGCGGGCGGGTCGGGGGCGAGGACGAAAATAACAATAAACAACAACAAACAACAAGCAACGAGAAGAATCTGCGCCGCAGAGCTCCACTTCAGCCACGCACCAAGGGACAAGTAATGACCGTTTGGCACCTCACCCTGATATGCGACCATCTAAGTGCATTCGTGCATGCATACAGGCACCCCCAACATATACAAGGTAACCGAGCAGCACACAACACACGCACACACACATACATACATGTATATGCGTATACATATATTTATTTATGTACGAATATCTGTAGATGTCTATATGTATACTTGGAGTCGCAGCTCTGCGTGCGGCGACAAGACGTAGAAGGTCGAAAACCGTGAAGCGCGCGTATACGCCCGCCCGGGCACTCAGAGACCACTCAGGGCCTCGCAGGCGTTGGCTGCTATAACCATATGGGCTTGGATGCCGGGGAGGGGGCGGTGAGCAGACCAGACTACGGTGAGGTGGAGGGTAACATAAGGCAAGCGGGACTGGACACACACACACACATTTCTAAGCCGGCGGCGCGGAGAAACCTCAGGCGCGGTCGGCAGATGGAGGTGCCAATCGCGAACGAAATCAGTCGAACGCGGGCACACATACACAACACACAACACACACACATGAGCACCAGCGCAACGCGTTGTCCTGCCTCACGGCGCCAGATGCCCGGAGCCCTGGTCGATTGCACTCTGGGCGCAGCGTGCCCCGCCCCTCCAGACGGCAGCCGCGCGGCCGCGCTGCGCGCTGCCGCCGCCGCCGCCGCCGCCGCCGCCGCCGCCCCCGCCGCCGCCGCCCGCCGCCGCCGCCGCCGCCGCCGCCGCCGCCGTCGTCGTCGTCGTCGTCGTCGTCGTCGTCGTCGTCGTCGTCGTCGTCGTCGTCGTCGTCGTCGTCGCCGTCGCGCGCTCCGCGCCGCCAGGCCGCCGCCTGCTTCCGAGGGGCGCGCGACGAGCGCCTCGGCGGCGTGGCGCACGCGTGCGGGGCCTGGCTGGGCCGCCTCCGCGTGGGGCCGGCCAGCTCGGGGCCGTGTTCGGCCGCTTCGCTTTTTTGGGGCAGTCGTTGCGCCGCTGCGCCGTTCTGCAATGCCAGTCTTCGGGGGAGGGCAAGGCACCCATGCCGCTACGCCTCGCCCCGTGCTCGCCATGTGGGGTCTCCTGGGAGGCCCTCGTCACCACCTCTGAATTCGCCTCGAAGTCCTGGTCCGAACGCAGCCCGGGAGAGATCCGCGAAGTAGCGGTATCGGTACCTTTTCGCCTCCCCAGTTCTACAGCGCCGTTCCACAACGCCGTTCTACAATCGGGGAAACGTGAGACTTGAGTACGCCGGAGCTCGGGTTTGCCGAGCGCGTCCTGGACTTTGACGGTCCAGTTTCCGTGGGATGTTTGCAGCGGGAGTTCGCGTCATTTTCGTGATGGCCCTGTCAGGCCAACCCGAGTCCCCCGAACCCGAGTCTTACGTCTCTTTGATATAAGTTTCGACAAAAAGATAATTCCAAGATTGGTTCATTGCCGCCTCTTGTCAGCCATTCAAGGTCGCCCCCTCCGTCGTCAGAGCCTAGCGAAGCGGGGTCTGGGTGGCTGCAACTCGGCAGTTCCACGACGACCAACACTGCAGAGAAGGCGCCAACAAGTACTCCGCGCGCACGACAATCAAATCGCGTGCGTGAAACATTTTTTGAGGTTCATGTTGACGAGGGTCACGCCGAGGCGCTGAAAGAAAGACCGCCTCGGCCTCAGGAGAGAGGCGTTGGTGCTCGGGCCGTCCATTATCAGATCTCGGTCGGAGGGCCTGCTTGCGGCCGAGGCTCGCCGTGGCCAGAAAAGCCTCTCTTCGTACCTTCTGCGGCGCTCCTTGTGAGGCGAATCTTGTCGAGGGTAGCATTAAGTCGGGCCTGTCCCTTTACAGGAGGAATATCCAAAAATAGTTAAAACATAGTCGGGGAACGATTTTTTGATTGAGCATTTTTGTGATATGTTTGGATATTCTTTATTGTTCGTTGTTCGCCCAGAACCCGCCTGTAGGGGGACTGGCCCGACCTACGGGTAGCAGGCTGTCTCCAGGCCATCGGTTCCGGTCCGCCTGGGTGCTGCCATCGGTTCGGCCTTTTCGAGGCTGGTGTCGTCGTGGGCGTCTAGATGGTCCAGGGGCGCCTCTCCAGGCCCTCTCCAAGGTCCCAGGGTGCGGGGGTGCATCGACCCCAAATCGCGCATTCTCGTCGAGCGCAGGGGAAGGAGGAGGAGGAGGGGGGGGTGGAAGAAGCAGAGATAGAGGGGAGGAGGGGGGAGGAGGGATCAGGGGCAGCGATCGGGAGGGATAGGCTCGATGGAGGGGCGTATCGACCCCAAGTCGCCCACTGTCGCCGAGCGCGCCCCACTGCTCGCGGAGCGCCCGCTCGCAAGCGCCCGCGAAGCGCGCGCTTGCCTCGATGTGATGACCTCCAGCATCGGATCCAGACCACTTTCCAGGGGGGAAAAAGCACAGACACAATTAATCGTCGATTCGCCAGAAAATATGGGAAAATATGGGAAGTGGGGGGGAAGACAACAACCCGGAAAAGATGGGAACATGTGGGGAATCTCGTTATTTGTGTGTGTATTTATTTGTGTCCCGGGGCCCCTTCACACCTGCGAGTGGCTCCTTCCTGCGATCCGTGGAACGCGCTTGCCTACATCCGTCGCCTGCAGGAGCCTGATCGCCCGCCCCGCTCACGAGCGTGCGGTTTCGCCAGCGGGTGCCTATCGCCCGTCCATCGGCGACGTGCCGCCGCGCCACCGCGGGCGCCCTCAGGCCCAGGGCAGGCGGGGCCATGGGGGGCATGGGGAGCACCATGCCCTGAGGGCCACTCACGCTTGGCGGCATCAATTGCACCCCACACAGTCGCGCGCCGTGTGGAGGCCAGAATGCCTCCTCCTCCTCCTCCTCCTCCTCCTCCTCCTCCTCCTCCTCCTCCTCCTCCTCCTCCTCCTCTTCCTCCTCCTCCTCCCCCGAAGCCATCCGCTCTCGGGGGGTGTTGGGCTGCCGGGGAGTCCGCGCGGGGCGAGCCTGGAAGGGCCAGCAGCCAGACTGACGGATTTGGCCTACAGCCACGGCGTCGAGACAAGGACCGCTTGGGGCTCAGGACCCAGACCCCCTCGAGTCATGAAACAATCACGACGGGAAGTTTTTCGCCATTCTCGGCCTCTGGAGGCCCTTGCCGGGCCTCGGGACCGTCAAAAAACGTCGCAGGATGAAAAACCGGTCCCGGGGAATAGGTCGAATCTTGGGGGTCGAATCCTCTGGGGGTCGACGTCATGAAAAAATCAGGACGTCGGAAGTTTGGGGAGGAGCACTGGTTTTCGGGCCGTTCCTCGGGTTTTGGTCGGGGAGCCTATCGGCGGCGGCAAAGAGGGGGGTGATGATTAAGGGGGGGAGGGGTATCATGGTGTGGGCCATGATCTTTCCTCAGATTTCATGGCGCCTCTTTGTTTTTTCATTGCGTTCCTGGCCCCCCCCTGGGCCGCGCACATGCCGCCGGGCATGATTTGCGCCCCCCCCTCTTGGACGCCCCGCTCTTGGCCGCTCCCGAACCTATTCGTGGCCAGGAAAGCCTCTTCGTTCTTTCGCATGCGTGCATTCTGGTAGCACGCTGATTGTGTTTTCGATTGCTGCGCCGACGAAGCCCAGGCGTCGAGTGCTGCACCGTTTCGGCCAGGGCACCGTCGGGCGCCCCCTGGAGCGCGGGGGTCCCAGCGCCGATACAGGAGATCCGCGCGGAGCGCCGAAAGTTTGTTCTCGTGCAGCCGTCTATTCTTCGACCCCCCTCCTCCTCCTCCTCCTCCTTTCCCTCCTCCTCCTTTCCCTCCTCCTCCTTCCCCTCCTTCTCCTCCTCCTACTCCTCCTCTTCCTCCGAAGCCCTCCTCCTCCGCCTCCTCCTCCTCCTCCTCCTTTCCTTCCTCCTCCTCCTTTCCCTCCTCCTCCTTCCCCTCCTTCTCCTCCTCCTACTCCTCCTCTTCCTCCGAAGCCCTCCTCCTCCGCCTCCTCCGCCTCCTCCTCCTCCTCCTTTCCTTCCTCCTCCTCCTTTCCTTCCTCCTCCTCCTTTCCCTCCTCCTCCTCCTCCGCCTCGTCCTCCTCCTCCGAAGCCCTCCTCCTCCGCTGCAGCACTCCGCCTCCCCTCCCGAGGCCCGCAGCTCTCGGGGAGGGCAGGGGGAAGGGTGGGGGCGAGCCGCCCGAGGTGCCTGGCGGCCGTCTACTGCTGCCACCGCGGCGCGCGGGCCCAGCGCCTGGCCTTGGCGCACTGCGAGCGGGCGCTGCGGCAGCGGGCGGCCCCGGCGGGGGGAGGCGCCGGGCCCTCGGGGGTGGGCGGCGGCCTGGCGGGTCGAGGAGTCAGACTGCAGAATTCGTCGGAGGAGGAAGCCCAGGACCCCCACGAGGACTGAAGACATCACGACGGGAGGTTTGTTATGCCATGTTCGGCCTCCGGGGGCCCTTCCCTGGCCTCGGGACCGTCAAGAAACGACTCGGGATGAGAAACCGGGCCCTCGGGGGCGGGCGGCGGCCTGGCAGGTCGAGGGTCGAGGAGTTGCACTGCAGGGTTCGTCGGAGGAGGAAGAGGTGCTCTGGGTTTTTTATCGAATCGCTTCGCTCATTCCGCCGGCCCATAATTGCGCGCTGTTGTCGACTGAGCACTTGCTTGCGTGCTCGGGGGGGCATTTGGGGAGCCTCCTGGGGCCGCTTGGGGGCCTCTTGGGGGCCGGGCGGCAGCCTGGCAGGTCGAGGAGTTATACTGCAGAATTCGTCGGAGGAGGAAACCCCAGACCCCCTCGAGGAATTAAGAAATCACGACGGGAGATTTTACTCCATATTCGGCCTTTGGGGGCCCTTCCTGGGCCTCGGGACCGTCAAAAAACGACTCGGGATGCGAAACTGGACCCGGGGAATAGGTCGAAACCTCTGGGGGTCGACGGTATGAAAAAATCATGACGTGGTGGCGGCCTGGCAGGTCGAGGGTCGAGGAGTTGCATTGCAGAATTCGTCGGATAAGCGTGGGGGGAGTACCCCCCTGGGGCGACGGGGTTCAACCTCGCCTCGTCGTCGCGCCACGACGGGGGTCGGAGCGCCTTCGGCGCGCGGCGGCTGCCCGCGACGGGGGTCGATGTGGGGCTGTCGGCGGGGGTGACGCCCCCCTAACGCTTATTCAGAAACTCGGAGTACCCATACCGCTGCCCCTGCCTCGTTTTCGCCTTTCTCTGCCTCCTGGGAGGCGCTCGTCGCCACCGCTGAATTCACCTCGAAATCCTGGTAAGAACGCACCCTGGGAGGTCCTGGGAGTATCGGTATCGGTACCGCTGGGTCTCCCCAATGTGTGTTTTCAAGTACAGCTCGATTGGTGACTTGATGCGAGCGCTCTCGAAGTCGCAGAATGGTGCTTTCGAGGATTGCCGATGCAGTAGTTTGCTGGAGCGCCCTGCAGCTGCTTTAAATCTTCAGATCAAGTCCAAAAGTATGCCGATCATCAGCAGAGCAGTTCCAGTACGAACCTTAGTGTCAGCTTTTGATCAACAAATGACCACCCCCTCCCCCCTTGGGGCTGATGAATAGAACCCGCGGGGCGCGAAACATGTTAACAAAAACACGCGCGCCAGGGGGTCGTTGCTGGCGCCGCCGCGGGCATGGTGCACCCCCCTGCGTGGCAACCTCAAAACTGTTGCCTTTCGTCGGAGGTGAGGGGGTGAGATCGAAGTGGAACGGAGAGCCCCCCTACCGGGAAATCGATTTCGGTTTCGTGTTCGTGCGTGCCGTGCGGGCGAGGCGAAGCTGCGTGGGCGGGCGAGAGAAAGTCTCCTGTGGCTGAGGCGCGGCCGGACCAAATGATTCTCCGCAGGGCGGCCGGTGGCGCGCGGTGTCCCGCGGGTGTCCCGCCGGTGTCCCGTCGGTGTCCCGTCGGTGCCCCGCGGTCTCCCGCCGGTGTCCCGCGGTGTCCCGCGATGATGATGATGATGATGATGATGATGATGATGATGATGATGATGATGATGATGATGATGATGATGATGATGATGATGATGATGATGATGGTGCTGCTGATGATGATGATGTTGCTACTGATGATGATGATGACGATGATGATGATATGAGGATGATGGTGTCCCGATGATGATAATGATGATGCTGCTGATGATGATGATCATGACGAGGATAATGATGCTGATGGTGTCCCGATGATGAGGATGATGATGATCATGATGATTATGTTGATGATCATGATGATGACGATGATGGTGTCCCGATGATGATGAGTATGATGATGTTGATGTCGATGATGATGATTATGATTGTGTCCCGATGATGATGATGTTGATGATGATGATGAGGTTGATGATGATTATGGCGTCCCGATGATGATGATGATTATTAGGATGATGTTGATGATGATGGCGTCCCGATGGTGATGATGATGATTGTGATGATGATGATGATGATGTTGATGCTGATGTTGGTAATGATGATGGTGCCCAGATGATGACGATGATGATGATGCTGATGATGATGCTGATGATGCTGATGATGATGATGATGTCGATGATGAGGATGAGATGATGATGATGGTGTCCCGATGATGATGATGATGATAACGATGGTGATCATGATGGTGTCCCGATGATGATGCTGCTGATGATGATGACGATGACTGTGTCCCGATGTTGCTGATGATGATTATGATGATGATGATTGTGATGATGGTAATGATGATTATGGTGGTGTCCTGATGATGTTGATGACTGTGATGATGATGATGTTGGTGTTAATGATGAGGACGGTGTCCCGATTATGATGATGTTGGTGATGATGATGTTGATGTTGATGGTGTTGTTGATGATGACGATGACGCTGATTGTGAGAGCGGTTGTGATATCGATAGTGAGATCGATAGTGAGACCGAATGTGAGATCGATTGTGAGATCGATTGTGAGATCGATTGTGAGATCGATAGTCAGATCAATTGTGAGATAGATCGAGTGAGATCGATTGTGAGATCAATCGAGGGAGATCGATCGAGCGAGACCGATACTGAGATCGATAGTGGGATCGATAGTGAGACCGATCGAGTGAGACGTTGGTTCCTCCCCCCCCCGAACCTCCTTATCACCCGAAGGGTGGTCGTATAGGTATAGAATTCTTGACGTTTCGCGTATCCCCACCAGAGTTGTTCTGAGGTTGACTCCGGTTGTTATGACCGCAGGCGTACTCTGTCAGCCGTTGGATGCGTTCTCTGAAGCTGCGACGGTTCGCTGGCGCTGTCAGAGACCCTTCTCCCCTCCTGGACGACGTCAGCTCTTTTGCCTACGGTCTCGCTCTTACCCGACAGACACCCTGGGCTCTCTGGCACTCTTCGCCCACGCAGACTGATCCCCACTACCTTGTGATTGTCGACCGACACGATCCATGACTGGGGATGAGCGTCGCGCCATTTTGGCAGCGTCCTCCCTGCTTCCTGGGTGGCTGTTTCCTTTCAGACTCCCTGGGCTGCAGTTTGCACCGCCGCCTGACCCGCGGCCCCCGCGCGCGCCCGGCTAATTCGTCACGGCCGCAGCCCGACCGTGACCCGCCGCCGCTGGCGCTTCCGCCTGCGGCTGTAAAAAAAAAGTATCCCCACCAGCCCATCCAGAAACGACGCCCAGGCGAGTAGAGGCGATCATGGAAGCGGGGCAGCATACAGAGGAACAAGGGGCTGGGGAGGCCGTCGTACCCCAAGGGGGGGGGGGATGGAGGACGTGTCGGAGGCGGAAGAGGAGGATGATGAGGGTGGGGAGGGAGGAATGAGGAGGAGGAGGAATAGGCGGATGATGATGTTGATGTCGATATTGATGATGCTGATGATGACGATGATGGTGGTGGTCTTGACGATGGTGATGATGATGATGATGATGATGATGATGTTGATGATGATGATGATGATGATGATGATGATGATGATGATGATGATGGTGATGATGAGGGGGGAGGAGGAGGAGGATAAGGGCGATCAGAAGAGTCAAAGGCCTCTTTGAATGCCTCGCGGAGTGTCTTGGGATGTCTCTTTGGATACTCTTTGAGGTCTCTTGGGGCGTCTTGGGGGCCTCTTGGCGGTCCCGGGAGCTTCTTGGACCGTTTTGGGTGCCTCGTGGGAGCCTCTTGGGGCCTCTTGGGGGCCTCCTGGGGGTATTTTGGGGGACTCTTGGAGGCCTCTTGGGGCCTCCTGGTCGCCTCTTGGGGCCTCCTGGGCGCCTCTTGAGGCCCTCTTGGGAGCCTTGGGGGCGTTTTTGGGGCCATCTTGGAGGGAGTCGATCAAACAAAAGGGGGGGTTCAATTAGCCTCCCCCCTCGGGAGCCTCCAAAATCTGCAAAAAAATTTGGTAAAACCGATGATTTGGGCTTCCTATCTTGGGGCCAAAAGAGCCGTCCGACACCTCGCGGCCCGCCCCGTCCAGGTCCAGGGGAGGGGGTAGGGGGAGGGGTAAACCCCTCCCCAAGGGGGAAGAGGGAGGGGTGGAAGAGGATCTGCTCTAGCCCACCCACGCCCAGAGGGCTGGTGGGATTTGTCATAGGGGTCGTACACATCCGAGGCGAATGTTTTCCCCCTTCTCCAGCGTCGTCGTCGTCGCCGTCGTCGTCGTCGTCGTCGTCGTCGTCTTCTTCGTCGTCCTTGTCGTCGTCGTCGTCGCCGTCGTTGTCGTCGTTGTCGTCTTCGTCGTCGTCGTCGTCGCGTCGTCGTCGTCGTCGTCGAGTACAGCGGGGTTGCGCAGACCCCCCCTAGGGCATCCGCAGTGCGTCGTCGTCGTCGTCACGTCGTCGTCGTCGTCGTCTTCTTCGTCGCCGCCGTCGTCGTCCTCGTCGTCGTCGTCGTCTTTGTCGTGTCGTCATCGTGCGCCGTCGTCCTCGACTACAGCGGGCCTGCGCAGCACACCCCGCACCCCCATAGGGCATCCGCAGTGCGTCGTCGTCGTCGCCGCCGTCGCCGTCTGCCCGCCGTCCGTCGTCGTCGTCGTCGTCGTCGTCGTCGTCGTCGTCGTCGTCGTCGTCGTCCTCGTTCTCATCCTCGTCCTCGTCGTCGTCGTCGTCGTCGTCGTCGTCCTCGTCCTCGTCTTCGTCTTCGTTTTCGTCGTCGTCGTCGACGTCGTCGTCGTCATCGTCGTCGTCGTCGTCGGCGACGACGGAGACCACGACAGATGGAGGGAGGGGGACTGCCCGCCGCCTTGCTCGGGTCGGACGAAAGGCTGGGGAAGGAAAGGGGGGGTTGCGAGACTTGCTGCGCGCATCTGGTTTCGGTCGCCCCGTCGAGGGGCCAGTCCTCGATGCATGGCCGCTTTCGGTGCCAGGGGGCGCTCGGGAAATTATCAATGTGAGTTGTTGCTCGCGGGCCCGCGAGGCAGCTGGCCCCCCCCTGGCTGCGGCCAGAGCACAGGAAACGCATCGGTTTGACAGAAAAGAACACGGAAAGTGCGGGGGCGAGCGCCGACAATAGGTCTTCATTTCAAACAGGTGTCGCCCTGGCTCACGGTCCCTGCTCATTCCGCCTTTGCCTCCCGCCCCCCTCCCCTCCCCCAATCTGTGCTGTCTGTCGCCTGGCCGCTGGCGGCTGGGCGTCGGCGCTAATCACCGGCGCCGCCGCCGTTGATTTTCAATCTGGCGGGCGCCACCCCGCGATTCGCCTGAGCAGGGAAACTATGTTTTAAAACACGCGTCCCCCACGGATTTGTTTATCACAAGCTGACATTATGTTTCTGGTATAGCTCGAGTAATGGACCGATCTTGGTGTTCCCGGGAGGCAGTCCCAGACCTCCAGTCCCATTGTGTGTGTCGCTCCCACTGACGTGCAACGCCCTGGAGTCGATCTAGAACAACAGCCCCCAAACCGATGGCATGTGCACCCGGACCCATCAAGGTGCAGCCCTCATCGCAAAGATGGAGCCCCCAGGGCGAGGGCCCCCAGGGGCAGCCCAGAGTGGCCGATGAAGTGTGTATGTTTGTATGTGCGTGTGTGCGTGTGTGTATGTGTGCGCGTGTACACGTGAGCGTGTGCACTTGTGTACGTGTGTACGTGTGTGCGCGTGTGTTTGCGTGTGTATATGTGTGCCCGTGCGTGCGTGCATGTGCATGTGCGTGTGCGTGTGCGTGCGCGCGCGTGTGTGCGGGTGTGTGTATGTGTATGTGTGTGTGAGTGTGTATGTGTGTGAGTGTGAGTGCGTGTGTGTGTGTGAATGTGTGAATGTGTGAATGTGTGAATGTGTGAATGTGTGAATGTGTGAATGTGTGAATGTGTGAATGTGTGTGTGTGAGAGTGTGTGAGAGTGTGTGAGAGTGTGTGAGAGTGTGTGAGAGTGTGTGAGAGTGTGTGAGAGAGTGTGTGAGAGTGTGTGAGAGTGTGTGAGAGTGTGTGAGAGTGTGTGAGAGTGTGTGAGAGTGTGTGAGAGTGTGTGAGAGTGTGTGAGAGTGTGTGTGTGTGTACGCGCGCGCGCGTTTGTGTGGGTGTGTTTTTTTTGTGTGTGTGTGTGTGTGTGTGTGTGTGTGTGTGTGTGTGTGTGTGTGTGTGTGTGTGTGTGTGTGTGTGTGCGTGCGTGCGTGCGTGCGTGCGTGCGTGCGTGCGTGCGTGCGTGCGTGCGTGCGTGCGTGCGTGCGTGCGTGCGTGCGTGCGTGCGTGCGTGCGTGCGTGCGTGCGTGCGTGCGTGCGCGCGCGCGCGCGTGCGTGCGTGCGTGCGTGCGTGCGTGCGTGCGTGCGCGTGCGTACGCGTGCGCGTGCGCGTGCGCGTGCGCGTGCGCGGGCGCGGGCGCGGGCGTGGGCGTGGGCGTGTGTGTGTGTGCGGTCGTGTGCGTTTGCGTGTGCGTGTGCGTGTGCGTGCGTGCGTGCGTGTTTGCCTGTGTGCGTGTGCGTGTGCGTGTGCGTGTGCGTGCGCGTGTGTGCGA